CGCTTGGAATTCGTAGTCCTAAGGTTCCGGGTTCGATCCCCGGTGGAGGCGGAAACAAATGGGCAGAGTTTCTATTATCCTGATGTTATTGTTCATCTAGCAGTAAATAGGTACCTGGGAGTTAGACAGCTGCTACGGGCTGCTTCCTGGGGGGTGTGTAACAAAAAGGAGGCCTGGTAGAGAACCGGGCCGCGGGGACACTAAAGCCCCGAAATCATCTCAAGATAACCTCAAGATAACCTCATCACAACCTTCTCTCTCGCAGCGTTTTTGCCTTATTTATCACATTTAAAACTTCCATTTTCTATGCTATTCCGTCTCTCTGTCTCTCTCTCTTTCCGCCTTTAAAAAAATCTTTACAATTTCCGAGTTACAGAGAAGTTGTTATTGAGAACAAAAACTCAACATTCGGCGTTATTGAGAACAAAAACTCAACATTCGGCGTTATTGAGAACAAAAACTCAACATTCGGCGTTATTGAGAACAAAAACTCAACATTCGGCGTTCTTGTGGCATGTTTGAGAAGATCAAGAGGAATGACAAGCATTTGGACGATGTTAAAAAAGTTGTCAAGTGGTACTAGAAGAGGTTTATAGAAGCAATAAAACTGGAACTTACAGGATTATTGCCTGTGATACGTGTCTAATGTTTTCCTTGTTGAATGTTCATTGATTTTGGCATTTTCTCCAGAGAATTATATTTATACATATATTACATATATATATATATATATGTAAGGAATTATAGCTGGTGAGAGCCCGCTGTGAGTTGGATAACACAGATATATGTCTCTCTCTCTCTCTCTCATACATATACATTTATATATAAACAAAACCAGAAACACATAAACATTCTGGTATGAACTAACTTCAAGGATTATGCAGACAACTGCTAGAGTGAAGACACTCAATAAGTGTGTAGCGTGACCACCAGGAACAGTCAGAGGTGACATGACACGAACAGAGATGAGGGGTGACATCCTTCCAGCAATGGGGTGACACGACACATATATCAGGTCGCCGATAGCGACACCGATGGCACCATTTGGTCACTATTTGGTCCGGGAGACATCTCCCATCACGCAGGGTGCATTTGCGCCTCCACAGATCTCCAGTATCATCTTTTGATACTGGTAATGGCTCAAAAGGGCCACCACTTACGGGCTATTCATGCCCGTGCCACCTCTTGGGTGGCTTAATCTTCATCAATCAATCAATCGACACCGATGGCTATCATCAGGCGCTTGTGGCACCCAGGAGGAAGCGACGTTCACGGATGCGAAGCTTCCCCGTGGAATACAAATTATCCGTAATATCCGTTGTTTAATGAAGGGTGGGGACGGGCGGGCAGGAGCAGGGCTGGCGCATAGCGCACCCGGAAGCGCGGCAACGCACCTGTGAGGTTGCCCCCCCCACCACCACCACACCCCCCTGCTTTGGCCGCGGGCAAGGGGAAGGGGGGAGAAGGATCAGGGACAGGAGAGGGGAGGAGAGGGACGGTATAGACGGCAACAGGATAGGGAATCGAGGGGAAGAAAGAGAGGATGACGGAAGGATAGAGAGGTGGGGAGGATGAACCAAGGGGACAAGGATGAAAATATATTAATAAAAAAATCCCCCCCGACGATATATCTTCTCCCCCACCCCCACCCCCACCCCCACCCCCACCCCCCACTTCTTTATATATCCAATATATAAAGAAATATATATATCCAACCACTCCAATCTGTATATTTATCCAGTTATTCCAATTTGTGGATTTATCCAACCAACGCCTGAAACTTTCTAGTGAATTTTCTTCTAGGATATTTCTTGCTTGTTCTAGAGATCTTCAACCCTATTTCGTCACGAGGAAATTGTTAAAAATAATTTTGGGATGTTTTCAGTAATCCATTTCTTTTATCATTATTCATTTGTATACATTCTTACACTTCAACCATGTTCCCCTTTACTCGGAGGAAATTAATCATTGGATTTTTATTAATCATTGGAGGGTTATTAAGGCTATTTTGTCCCGATTAAAGTACACGCAGGTGATCAGGATTAAATTGTGTGTGTATATCCAAAGGGCCAATGTGTTTAACTCTTGATGAATATATCGCTTGTATACTTAAGAGTTTGAATTATTCAAGCTACTAGATATAAATCACAGTACCATATAAGCATTATTTTGATCATATATTATCATTTTTGTACATCCTTACTAATCATCACAAATTATTTTCGCAGTCTAATTGAGCAGTTTTGATCATTTTTCTCGCATTACTCTGATCCTGTCAATAACAATCAGTATCTGTCAATTTTCAGAGTATTATATAAATTGATTTCTCTCAGGAGCATATTATAACCTAAGAGATTAACACCCATCAAATTTTAGTCATCGGAAAAGAATGATTTGTTTTGCTAACTTGAGAATCAATCGACTTGAGAATGGTCCAGGACGGACCGAAACGTCGTCGTCCCTTCAACTTCTAGTGTGTGGTCTGGTCAACATACTTCAGCCACGTTATTGTGACTCATCGCCTGCATTTGTTTTGCTGTTAACTTCATTATCTAACATCCATTACGACATGATATCCAGTGAAGGAGATAGCACAGAGCCATGAGGCACTCCAGTGGTGAATTTTTCCCAACTTTTCACTGTATTCTCTATGCTTCCTGTAGAGCAATGTACCCCTGACCCAGATTATGATATCTCCAATATCTTACGTATCTGCCTTTCATTAAGAATGCGTTTGGTCAAGTAACTGACAAGGAAGAATATCTAAGAATGTTGTAATAATCTTCTACAGTATATGTCTGTGTCAGGCCAGCTGTCCCAGTAGTTACATCACCAACAAGGACCTTCTACAATCTTCTGCGTTTAATAATGTTGTACAGTGTACATGCGGAAAATCTACAGAGAAATGGGAAAGGAAGAAGAACGTTTCGGCCGATCAAAGCCGTTGTCATCACTAGTGTACATATGTACTACTCACCTAGTTGTGCTTGCGGGGGTTGAGCTCTGGCTCTTTGGTCACTGTACTGTACAGTGTACAGTGTACAAGAGGTCCTGGCTTATATTACCTCTTAATAAACACTTGGAAAACATTCGATCTGGACAGTTCTGTAGTAAGCAGTTTCACCAGGTTGTGTAAAACTAAAGTCTTTTTGACCAGACCACACACACTAGAAGGTGAAGCGATGACGACGACGTTTCGGTCCGTCCTGGACCATTCTCAAATCGATTGTTGATTGTTCTCAAGTCACAATCGACTTGAGAATGGTCCAGGACGGACCGAAACGTCGTCGTCGTCGACCCTTAACTTTCTAGTGTGTGTGGTCTGGTCAACTTACTTTAGCCACGTTATTGTGACTCCTCATCTGTAAACCTTAGTCTTCCTTATGATCATCTTTTCCCCTTGCTAAAAAGTGTTAAATCTAACATGTTACTTATCACCAGTTGCCTCTGTCATATATTGGTTAAAAAAGCAATCTTCGACTACCTTTTTTTAACCTTTTCTATCTGGTCATTTTTTGTTCGATTTGTCCAGTTTATTGGTCAAAGAGTTGAGTCGCCCACAAGACATATTATCTTAGGTTGATACCACAATATTTATGCCTTTCTATTCTCTTCACATTTGGTGGTCTGTGGGAGTGGGGAGGCGGGGCTGAGAGGTGGGAGTGGGGTGGGGGGTGATGTGGGAGTGGGGTGGGGGGTGATGTGGGAGTCGGGGGTGCGGGGGGAGGGGAAGCAAGGTCATCCACCACACCTGGGAGAAGGGGCCACCTGCACCCCTCACCCCATGTTCCCCCAGCGACTGCAGTTTATTTAACCTATATTCCCACTCCGCCCACAACGGCCCTCACCATCACCACCACCACCACCACCCCACCAACGCACCGCCAGCCCCCCACCAACGCACCGCTAACCCCCCACCAACGCACCGCTAACCCCCACCAACGCACCCCCAGACCAGTCCCACCGTCTACACAACTCTGTACACCTGGAAGCTGAACACTGTGAGAGAGAAAAACCTGCCCACCAACTCTGTGATGACTGTGTTGACATTTTTGCATGATGATGTCATGAGACGTGCGTGCGATGGCTGTGACGTCGCGGGGTCATGTGTGTGAGATGATGACTTTGACGTCAAGACACGCGTCTGTGAGTCGTATCTGCTAGTCGTAGATAGCAGATACGATAGCAGAATCACCATCAAGGCGCTGTGTGTGTGTGTGTATCCGAGAGTCATGTCTATGACCCCGTGTCAGCGAGTCGTATCTGTAAGTCGTTTCTATAAGAGTTGTACAACGACATCATCCTGTACAACGACAGCTAAAGTGACATCATCCTGAATACCCTAACACCAGGGGCCAGATTCACGAAAGCACTTACGCAGCACTTACGAACCTGTACATCTTTTCTCAATCTATGGCGGCTTTGTTTACAATTATTAAACAGTTAATGAGCTCCGAAGCACCAGGAGGCTGTTTATAACAATACCAACAGTTGACTGGCAAGTTTTCATGCTTGTAAACTGTTTAATAAATGTAACCAAAGCCTTCAAAGATTGAGGAAAGATGTACACGTTCGTAAGTACTTTCGTGAATCTGGTCCCAGGCCTCTTGACCCCATGAAATGTAAACAAAATAATTTGTTGAGATGATTGATTTAACCAATTTTATCTAAACTAGACGTTAATTTGCTAAAATAGTTGTGATTAACATACATGTTATTCTCTACAAGGTTGTGATGGGGGAATAGAATATAATAGGAAAGTTATGAAGAATTAACAACCTAATGAAGAGGCCTAATTCACAAATCTGAAAATATAAAAACTGGCGATGTTTCGGTCCTCCACAGACCATTATCATGACCACTTGATAATGCTCCATGACCGAAACGTTCTCAATACGTTTATTTCCAGATTTGAGAGATAGGTGTCTTAATTTTTTTAGCCATGTTATTGTGATATATTCTGAGCATAACCTAATGTAATTCTTCCCTTCATTCTACAGGCGCCGCCAGGGCACGGTGTGGTGCTCGAGCTGGTTCGTCTTAGATTGCGTCGATCTCGTCGCTGCTCCGCCAGCAGGGTACAGGTGTTGCCGGGGCTGTCCGTCGACCAGACCCACATCAGACCCCTGGCAAAGTGCGTCACCTGTCCAAACCTGATAGCCACAGCTTGTGTATATTATAGTATTATATATAATGTATATATATATATATATATATATATATATATATATATATATATATATATATATATATATATATATATATATATATATATATATATAGGGGTACCACCTCTGGTGCAAGTGTAGGGACCCATCGCCTCGGAGAAGAAAATAAAGAGTACTCAAATATATATAGATATATATATATATATATATATATATATATATATATATATATATATATATATGTGTGTGTGTGCGTGTGTGTGTGTGTGTGTGTGTGTGTGTGTGTGTGTGTGTGTGTGTGTGTGTGTGTATATATCACGAAAATAAACACGTGATAAAAAATGTGACAGTGTCAGACCTCGGAGGAAAATTGAAACAGGAATTTCCTTAAGTACTTTCGTATATTAATACATCTTAAGAAGAAGTTGGATATATATATTATAGACATCCAACCAAACCTGATCCTCTTATTAAGCTTATGCTCAAAACGTTTCATTGAGTTTCGCTTCTCTGGTGGTAACTGGAAACTTGTTCCGCAGATTTGCAGCCATATTTCCAAATCAGTGCTTAGGTATTTCTTTTCCAAGTCTAAACGTATATCATTTGAATCTATTGACTAATAACTCTAAATTTGGTTCCTATTTTTAAAACCCAATTATATATATATATATATATATATATATGTCGTACCTAGTAGCCAGAACGCACTTCTCTGCCTACTATGCAAGGCCCAATTTGCCTAATAAGCCAAGTTTTCATGAATTAATTGTTTTTTGACTACCTAACCTACCTAACCTAACCTAACCTAACTTTTTTGGGTACCTAACCTAACCTAACCCATAAAGATAGGTTAGGTTAGGTTAGGTAGGGTTGGTTAGGTTCGGTCATATATCTACGTTAATTTTAACTCAAATAAAAAAAAATTGACCTCGTACATAATGAAATGGGTAGCTTTATCATTTCATAAGAAAAAAATTAGAGAAAATATATTAATTCATGAAAACTTGGTTTATTAGGCAAATCGGGCCATGTATAGTAGGCTGAGAAGTGCGTTCTGGCTACTAGGTACGACATATATATATATATATATATATATATATATATATATATATATATATATATATATATATATATTTAACCTTTTCATCCATTTGTTACGCTTTAATTATATCCCCCTTTTACACATTTTCTTTACACAGGTGGGTACTGGAGTAGAGGAATTCTGACTCCTGTTAGCAGGTATAAAGCTTTACTTTATACCAGCTATTTTTCCTCGAATACAACTCTCCAGTCGGTTAAAAGTCAGATCCTAATTACTGATTGGTGAATAGAAACCAACAGTTAAGGATTAGCATGTCGTCAATTCTCCTTTGCCAAGACTCGAACCCAGACAAAATTGCGAACGAGGATAGAGAGAGTGTGTGTGTTACCACTTCGCCAACATGACTTGTCTGACGTAAATTTAGCTTTCTCCGAACGTCTTTCCAAAGAGGTTTCTTATGGGAAGAGTTTAGTCATGCATCTATGTTCTCATGAAACTTTACAACCATATTGTGGCGTTAAGACTCAGCTTCTAGGAACAAAAAGTTCCAAGCAGCACGGGCTATGGTGAGCCCGTATTGGACTTACCTGGCACAGGAGCGGGGCTGTAACTGGAAAACTGTAACAGGGTTTACAACCACGTTACACAACGGTGATAATCTTGTACCACACCACGCAGGATGATTCTCACAAGTGCAGGACAACGTTAAAGGATGATATACTCAATAGTATATCATCCTTTAACGTTGTCCTGTGCTGTCCTGTCCAATAGTATCAAAGGATGATATACTCAATAGTATATCATCCTTTAACGTTGTCATGTCCTGTCCAATAGTATCAAAGGATGATATACTCAATAGTATATCATCCTTTAACGTTGTCCTGTCCTGTCCTGTCCAATAGTATCAAAGGATGATATACTCAATAGTATATCATCCTTTAACGTTGTCCTGTGCTGTCCTGTCCAATAGTATCAAAGGATGATATACTCAATAGTATATCATCCTTTAACGTTGTCCTGTCCTGTCCTGTCCAATAGTATCAAAGGATGATATACTCAATAGTATATCATCCTTTAACGTTGTCCTGTGCTGTCCTGTCCAATAGTATCAAAGGATGATATACTCAATAGTATATCATCCTTTAACGTTGTCCTGTGCTGTCCTGTCCAATAGTATCAAAGGATGATATACTCAATAGTATATCATCCTTTAACGTTGTCCTGTCCTGTCCTGTCCAATAGTATCAAAGGATGATATACTCAATAGTATATCATCCTTTAACGTTGTCCTGTGCTGTCCTGTCCAATAGTATCAAAGGATGATATACTCAATAGTATACTCGTGAACTCTCAAACATTATTCCCACTTGGGCCTAGTACACATGTGGGTACCAGGGGCCAGATTCACGAAGCAGTTACGCGAGGACTTACGAACCAGGGGGCAGATTCAGGAAGCAGTTACGCGAGGACTTACGAACCAGGGGTCAGATTCAGGAAGCAGTTACGCGAGGACTTACGAACCAGGGGCCAGATTCACGAAGCAGTTACGCGAGGACTTACGAACCAGGGGCCAGATTCACGAAGCAGTTACGCGAGCACTTACGAACCAGGGGCCAGATTCACGAAGCAGTTACGCGAGCATTTACGAACCAGGGGCCAGATTCAGGAAGCAATTACGCGAGGACTTACGAACCAGGGGTCAGATTCAGGAAGCAGTTACGCGAGGACTTACGAACCAGGGGTCAGATTCAGGAAGCAGTTATGCAAGCACTTACGAACCTGGGGCCAGATTCACGAAGCAGTTACACGAGGACTTACGAACCAGGGGTCAGATTCAGGAAGCAGTTACGCGAGGACTTACGAACCAGGGGCCAGATTCACGAAGCAGTTACGCGAGGACTTACGAACCAGGGGTCAGATTCAGGAAGCAGTTACGCGAGGACTTACGAACCAGGGGTCAGATTCAGGAAGCAGTTACGCGAGGACTTACGAATCAGGGGCCAGATTCACGAAGCAGTTACGCGAGGACTTACGAACCGGGGGCCAGATTCACGAAGCAGTTACGCGAGGACTTACGAACCAGGGGTCAGATTCACGAAGCAGTTACGCGAGGACTTACGAACCAGGGGTCAGATTCAGGAAGCAGTTACGCGAGGACTTACGAACCAGGGGCCAGATTCACGAAGCAGTTACGCGAGGACTTACGAACCAGGGGTCAGATTCAGGAAGCAGTTACGCGAGGACTTACGAACCAGGGGCCAGATTCACGAAGCAGTTACGCGAGGACTTACGAACCAGGGGTCAGATTCAGGAAGCAGTTATGCAAGCACTTACGAACCTGGGGCCAGATTCACGAGGCAGTTACGGGAGGACTTACGAACCAGGGGTCAGATTCAGGAAGCAGTTACGCGAGGACTTACGAACCAGGGGCCAGATTCACAAAGCAGTTACGCGAGCACTTACGAACCAGGGGCCAGATTCACGAAGCAGTTACGCGAGGATTTACGAACCAGGGGCCAGATTCACGAAGCAGTTACGCGAGCATTTACGAACCAGGGGCCAGATTCAGGAAGCAATTACGCGAGGACTTGCAAACCTGGGGTCAGATTCACGAAGCAGTTACGCGAGCACTTACGAACCAGGGGCCAGATTCAGGAAGCAATTACGCGAGGACTTGCAAACCTGGGGTCAGATTCAGGAAGCAGTTACGCGAGGACTTACGAACCTGGGGCTAGATTCACGAAGCAGTTACGCGATCACTTACGAACCTGGGGCCAGATTCACGAAGCAGTTACGCGAGGACTTACGAACCTGGGGCTAGATTCACGAAGCAGTTACGCGATCACTTACGAACCTGGGGCCAGATTCACGAAGCAGTTACGCGAGGACTTACGAACCTGGGGCCAGATTCACGAAGCGGTTACGCGAGCACTTACGAACGTGTACATCTTTCCACAATCTTTGACGGCTTTGGTTACATTTATTAAACAGTTTACAAGCATGAAAACTTCCCAATCAACTGTTGTTATTGTTATAAACAGCCTCCTGGTGCTTCGGAGCTCATTAACTGTTTAATAATTGTAAACAAAGCCGCCAAAGATTGAGGAAAGATGAACAGGTTCGTAAGTGCTTGTGTAACTGCTTCGTGAATCTGGCCCCAGGTTCGTAAGTCCTCGCGGAACTGCTTCGTGAATCTGGCCCCAGGTTCGTAAGTCCTCGCGCAACTGCTTCGTGAATCTGGCCCCAGGTTCGTAAGTCCTCGCGCAACTGCTTCGTGAATCTGGCCCCAGGTTCGTAAGTACTTGCGTAACTGAATCGTGAATATGGCCCCTGGTTCGTATGTCCTCGCGTAACTGCTTCGTGAATCTGGCCCCAGGTTCGTAAGTCCTCGCGTAACTGGTTCGTGAATCTGGTACAAGGTTATCAACTCATTTTCTGCCATTTTGTAGTTTCATCGCGTTGGTCATCACTTGCGTTCGTTTAGTGAACCGAAATCTGAATGTACTAGAAAGAGGACTAGGGTTCTAGGTTAGCGAGACCCATTAGGGTCCGGGTTAGCGAGACCCATTAGGGTTCCGGGTTTAGCGAGACCCATTAGGGTTCCGGGTTAGCGAAACCCATTAGGGTTCCGGGTTAGCGAGACCCATTAGGGTTCCGGGTTAGCGAGACCCATTAGGGTTCCGGGTTAGCGAGACCCATTAGGGTTCCGGGTTTAGCGAGAACCATTAGGGTTCGGGATGGCGAGAACCATTAGGGTTCGGGATAGCGAGACCCATTAGGGTTCCGAGTTAGCGAGAACCATTAGGGTTCCGGGTTTAGCGAGACCCATTAGGGTTCCGAGTTAGCGAGAACCATTAGGATTCCGGGTTTAGCGAGAACCATTAGGGTTCCGGGTTAGCGAGACCCATTAGGGTCCGAGTTAGCGAGACCCATTAGGGTTCCGAGTTAGCGAGACCCATTAGGGTTCCGGGTTAGCGAGACCCATTAACGTTCCATGTTAGCGAAAACCATTGATGTTCCGGGTTAGCGAGGACAATGGTATCTCCTAGAGACTTACGAAAGGATAATGATAAATGCAGGAGAAAATGCGGATATTCACAGCTGACCTGAATTGAGAAACTTCCTGTGACATTTGCATCGAAACTCCGAGAGTGAGTTAAGAGAATACATCTTCATGGCGGATCTCACCTCCTGGTAGTGATTCATAGGTCACAGTTATGCCCGGGGATTATTGCTTTAAGGCAAGGCCGCTTGAGGGCGAGATGTGGCCATTTGAAGGGTGAGGTAAGGCCGCTTGAGGGCGAGATGAGGCCATTAGAGGGTGAGGTTATGCTGTTGGAGGGTGAGGTGGGGGTATTAGGGGATTAAGGGGCGAGATATGGTCCCTGTAGGGTGAGATAAGGCCGCTTAAGGACGAAATGAGGCCATTAGTAGGTGAGGTAATGTTGTTGAAGGGTGAGGTGGGGGGGGGGGTATTAGGGGACTAGAGGATGAGATATGGTCCCTGTAGGGTTTCAAACATGCCTTGTGGTGCAGTTGGCTTCGTTCTGAACTCACAATCCTGGGGATCTCAGGTTCGATTCCAGAGCGGGACAGAAATGGATGCTTATGATATGCCATTCACTTAATGCATCTGTTCGCATGTCCCCGACAAAGCGAATTAATTTTCTATGACGCATATATACTGTTTTATACTTTACTATAGTTTACCTAAAGCTCGTTTTCTTTTCTAAAGAAAGAACGTATAACTTGGGGGATTAACTATAAGAGTTTCAGCAAGTAGTTTGTACCTTTGTTTAGGGCTGAAATTAACACCTCGTCAGCTTGACAACCATTGTCAAGATAAAATTATTCAAAGCATTACTAAATTACAAAGCCTGTAGTTCTCTAAATTGCTTTGTATGATAGTTATAAGAAGCCCAAAATGCAGCTAATACAATCGAAAGAAAACTAGCTAACGAAACAAAGGTCGACTTCGACAGCACAAAACAAAAAAAGCAATTAGACATGTTCTTTTAAGAAGTGCCGGACCAACCAGGTTGTTATGGTCCTGTGGGCCTGCGGACCGCTCCAAGGAACAGCCTGTTGGACCAAGTTACAAGAAGTCAATCCAGGGCCTAGACCTGGTTTAGGGAGGACTTCTGGAATCCTCTCCAGGTAATTTTCAGGTATTGATCGATCCCTCATTTCTTTTGGCGTTATCATTTCAGAGATGGAGTTATTTACACGTTTAGATATAACATATACGCCTTTTACATTTCATTAAAGCATTTATACTTTGTTAGTGTTTATTTACGTGCGAACAATACATTAATATTTCCAGATTTTGTGGACGAACACCCAGAACCAAACTATGGAAAACGACGTTCTCAGAGGTGGACATAGAATACAAGAGCAGCAAGAACGTAGATCTGAAACTGAAGGGCAGAGCGCATGACGCCGGAGTGAAGGGACCACAAACCCCAGACGCCAACAAGAGAGCGGAAACGCCCCCTTCCTCACCAAGACATGGTAGAGGTCCATCGGGATCCACTAGAGCCGACAAACTAGAGCGGATCAAGGCTCTCCAGAGATTTTATAAACTCAAAAGGCAACAGAATAATCAGCTTCAGTCACAGAGAGGCCTCGAACACTCCTCACAGACTGAGAGACGGAGCTACCATTATCGCGCCCAAAGTAACAGTCGGCGTTTCTACAGGCACACAAACATATCCGGATTAGAATCCACAGATCTGGCGCTCAATGACAACCTGCTGGTGGACGGAGACAGTTTCGTGTACGACCTAGCGAGCCGGACGTACGGAGCCGTCTCCGACCTTCCAACACCCAAGAGTGTCCGCCTCCTAAGTGTTGGCGAACCTTCGTGGATTAATTCCAACTTCATTATCCACGACGGTCAGAATGACACTGAGTTGATCCATTACATGGATGAGCCGAGGGCGGAGGAAGGCCACCCACATGAACGGAAACGGAAGAGAAATTCCAAGCTCAAGAAATCGAATCGAAAGAGAAGCTTGGGCGAGTTGATTAGAGAGATTAGGGCCGACGACGCCGGGAAAGCGACTGAGAGACTCCCGCGGTCGCCACAAGACGCGCCAAACAGAGGACGGAAAGGCAGCGGCCGCCAGAAACACGAACGCTCCAGGTATCATACAGTCACCCGTGGCCGGCCCGGTCCACGACGTCAACAGTACAGAGTCACCATCAAGAATCACCAGCGGACCGCACCTCAAGGACCACGGGCCGCACCTTCCCGTAGAGCCCTCGACACCAGTTACTCTCGAGGCCGGAACGAAATTATACCCCACAAACCCACCAAACCCAACATGCACCATGGCGCTAAGCACCCGTATTCTCCCTCGAAGAACTTTGGGTATAAACCTTCCACAAGCGAGCGAGAGAATGCGGTGATCAGCCGACCTGTAGATGGAAGCAGGACGCACAGGTCGAAGGAATATTTTGTGATTAAGGTAAGGTGTAAATTGCATACTTTAATTTTCATCACAATTAAAATACATAACAAAAATTGGATGTTAATAAAATCACTTTCATTGAACATGTTCATGTTCACGACGACTTAATAACGAAACTCATTTTTCCCCCCAAAATTGATTCAAATTGCCTCCATTTATTGCAGACTAGACCTGTTTCATAAGCAGGCGATAAGTCACAATAACGTGGCTGAAGTATGTTGACCAGACCACACACTAGAAGGTGAAGGGACGACGACGACGTTTCGGTCCGTCCTGGACCATTCTCAAGTCGATTGTGTCCATTCTCCAGACACAATGAACTTGAGAATGGTCCAGGACGGACCGAAACGCCGTGGTCCCTTCACCTTCTAGTGTGTGGTCTGGTCAACATACTTCAGCCACGTTATTGTGACTGAAATCTGTAGGAGAAGAATCTTCCTGAAGTAAGGTTTTCTCTGGCTTCAGGTGTCGGCCTTCCGGAGTGGGTGTGGCGGTGAAGTGAAGGAACGACGGGGCAGGTTCTCCAGCCCAGGCTTCCCTCGTAAGACGAGCGCCAAGACGTCCTGCTTCTGGAGGTTTAAGGTGTGTGGATACTCACTCTCTAACCACTTGGGTTGGGCGGTAGAGCGACGGTCTCGCGTCATGCAGGTCGGCGTTCAATCCCCGACCGTCCATAAGTGGTTGGGCACCATTCCTTTCCCCCGTCCCATCCCAAATTCTTATCCTGACCTCTTTCCCAGTGCTATATAGTCGTAATGGCTTGGCGATTTCCCCCTTGATAACTCCCCTCCCTCTCTCTCTAACCACTTGGGCTGGACGGTAGAGCGACGGTCTCGCGTCATGCAGGTCGGCGTTCAATCCCCGACCGTCCACAAATGGTTGGGCACCATTCCTTTTCCCCCGTCCTATCCCAAATCCTTATCCTGACCCCTTCAAAGTACTATATAGTCGTAACGGCTTAAACCCTGGAAACACAAACCGAAACTGTCTCTATTTTCCGCTTGTTACAACTTGTAATAAAGTTGTTACATCTTGGCTTAACGTGTTTATGACGTATTAGAACGTTGTTACAACTTGCTATACTGGTTGTTATAACTGGTTAGGAGGTGTTAAAACTTGTTCGAACGTTGTACCAACGTCGTAGTTTCGGTGTGTGTTTAGCAGGAATTGGTACTTTACCCTGATAATTCCCCTCTCTCTCGCTATAACACAATCGAAAGGTCAACCATTCCACTAAACTACAAATGGTTCGAAAGGCAGGTCTCGAAGGTTGACGCTCGACCCTGCAATCATCTAAGTATATATTCTTAAATGTGTAAATAGTTAAGGACTATTTACTACAATTAGTCTTCGTTCTGGGAGAGTCCAGTCCATTCAGGGAGAGAGTCCATCCAGTCCAGTCCAGCGTATTAGCATTTGCCTTTCCACTTGAAAATTTCAGCAGTTTGGAGAGGGGAAGACCTGCTGCATGGGTAACAGCTTCTCATCCATGTCGCCCTACCCCGGCTTTGCGCCCTGGAGTGGTCACTACAGCCTCGACAACCAGAGAGCCACTCCCATAGTCTCCTGAGACTGTATGTTTAACACTTCTCTAACCCTGTCCATGGAGGACAGAAGAAAATGTATATATGCTGGTTAGCATTGTAAATGTGTGGCCACGTCTGTGGTAGAAAATAATAATAATAAAAAAAAACTGAATGATGTATGTAAATCATGAACAAAAATACGTGATGAATAATGTGACAATGTCAGACCACGAAGGATTAAGACAGGAATTTCGTAAGTACTTTAGTATTTAAGAATACATCTTCAGAAGGATCTTCATCCTTCTGAAGATGTATTATTTAACACCAAAGTACTTAAGGAATTAAGGAAATTCCTGTCTTATCACTCTCAATTTCACTAACTAAACTCTGAAGTTTTTACTAACTTAATTTCACTAACTTAAATTCCTGTCAATATCACTAACAAGCCTCCAGTGGCTTGGTACCAAAGAGCCGAAGCTCGACCTCCACAAGCACAACTAGGTGAATACACGTCCTGCATGCACAAATAGGTGAGTACACGCATGCACGCACACGCACGCACACACACGCACGCACACGCAGCTGCCCATTGTTACATCAGCTGTCTGTTGCGATAACAAATTTCATTTTTATGTTCTTGAACGAGATTGATATTATTAATGATAAGACTTATATATTCATTGTATACCTCAGTCACAAGATTTATTTTGTGTTAAGATTGACTGTTCACTTTGTAACTTAAAATTAACAACAATTTAGCTTCAAGACTTTCCTGTTGGTCACGTAAAACCACTAAACCTGCAATAGCCGGTATAGCACCAGCTTCGCATCTTGGAAGTCAGTGTTCGATCCTCGATATTCTGCTGGCTGACCAATGGTATAATCTCCCCATCCTTATATCCCAGCCTTTATCCTACAATCCTTAACATATCTCGTATAACCACATTGACTTAGTTCCCTTCCCTAAATATTACTTTACCTTGCCTGTTTTATCCCGTCACAATATCGCCTTAGCCTACTCCATCTCCCCGTACAGACTCCCGCAGGCAGCCACTGGAAGCTGCAGTGTAAGGACTTCCATATTCGCAAATCACAGCTCTGTCTCAGAGACCACTTGGCCATCAGGATCAACAACGCTGCCTGGTCAAGGTACTGTGTACATTCGCATGTATTATATGTTGGGGTCTGTTTATGTTAATTTCTTTGTATATATCCAACCCGTTCTCGCACTTTCGTATAGTCAATATTGACTTAATAAATACGTGCATATGTGACATACTAAACATACTAGTTTACCTTGAAAAGCTTCATAGAAAACACCGACCTTACCTAACCTTCTTAGTATGTTAAGATAAGCATCTTATTGCTTCGTAATTACAATTATTACTTAACCTATACCTATAAGAGGTTAAGTAATAATTGTAATTACGAAGCAATAAGATGCTTATCTTAATATACTAAGGAGGTTAGATAAGGTCGGTGTTTTCTATGAAGCTTTTCAAGGTAAACTAGTATGTTTAGTATGTCACATATTCACGTATTTAATAGGTCAATATTGACTGTAAGAAAGTGCGAGAACGGGTTGATATATCTGGCTGTCATAATAGTTGATCGCGTCCACGTCTGACTGAGTTCATCAGCTTTGAACTGTAAGTTTTATTTATATTAATAATAATATTATGTGCAACACTGCCTGCCATTGGAAACACACAGAAGTTGTTAATATGGGAAGTCAATTCTCAACTAGATGCCCTCGCCAGGCTGTGTCTGTAATGCCAGCTTTTTCCATGTTTTTATCCTGTAAAACTGTATATGGAATTGACCTCGACAGCTTCTTCGTCTAGTTCCATTCATTTACTGCTCTTAAAACTGATGAAGCTTCTTGGACACCATTCCTTTCCCCCGTCCCATCCCAAAGCCTTATCCTGAACCCTTCCAAGTGCAATATTCTCGTAATGGCTTGACGCTTTACAGTGATAATTCCTTCTCTCTCTCCTTAGATATTGTGGTCGTGAAGGCCCTAGTCTGGCACTCACCTCCTCCCACGAGGCCTCCGTCGACGTCGTCCTCAACACCTTCAGAAACTCCTCGGCAAGGATCGTCTGCTCGTGGGAGACGACCCGAATTGGTAAGTGTCGAGGGGACGAGGATAGGTTGAGTTACAAGACTCTGGGAGAGATACAAGCACGTTCTTACAGTCTTGTAAAGCCGCTAATACGCATAGCGTCTCGGGCAGGTCCTTAATCTTAATGTCCCCTCCCTGAAATACGACCCGCCAAATTGTTAAGGATTGGCGCCTAGTCAATTCTCCCCGGCCAGGATTTGAACCCAAATCACTCCCGAAGCGGGGAGAGTACAGGTGCGTAAGTGCTTGCGTAACTGCTTTATGAATCTGGCCCCAGGAGGGTATCCAAGGCTCTGACAAGGGTCCCATCCTCCAGGAACAAGATGTTCTGTTAGCTTCTCAATCTATCTAGGTGACCTCTTCGAGTGCTAACCAAATATGAGAAGGGGGCTAAGGGATGATCCCACAGGTCCCAACTCTCTTTCACTTTCTCAAATAGAACCTTAATCTCTCCCAAATAGAATCTTTGTCTCTCCACATGATCTTACGACTGGATACAGAGTTTTAGTATATTTATATATCCAAACACGGTCTAATTTATACATATAAGACCGATATGTTGCAATTGCATCAGCCCAAGAACCATTTTTCAGTGTTACTACTCCAAGATCTAGTTCTCAAGTCTTCAGTCTCGGCTCAAGAATTAACCAGGCATTTCCTTACCCCACCGAGACGTCGCCAGATTTCCCACGACATTGATCACAAGGTCAATGTCGATTCCTACATCGTGTCTACAGTTCCTCACAAGACTATACCATCTATCATTAACTCTGTCAATCAATGAATTAACCTTTGTGTTCCTAAAATATCGTCACACCTGGATGGTACTATTGTGTGTTGCCATACCAAGAAGTACCTTCTTCTTAGAGTTGCCACACCAAGAAGTACCTTCTTCTCAGTGTTGCCATACCAAGAAGTACCTTCTTCTTAGAGTTGCCACACCAAGAAGTACCTTCTTCTCAGTGTTGCCTTACCAAGAAGTAACTTCTTCTTAGAGTTGCCATACCAAGAAGTACCTTCTTCTTTGAGTTGCCATACCAAGAAGTACCTTCTTCTTTGAGTTGCCACACCAAGAAGTACCTTCTTCTCAGTGTTGCCACACCAAGAAGTACCTTCTTCTTAGAGTTGCCATACCAAGAAGTACCTTCTTCTTAGAGTTGCCATACCAAGAAGTACCTTCTTCTTAGAGTTGCCACACTAAGAAGTACCTTCTTCTCAGTGTTGCCATACCAAGATATCCTCTCACTAAATCCCAAATTGCTTCTCAGATGAGGCCACCGAGCTCAATCACAACTACGGGAGATACTGGAGCTACAACCTCACCCGAGCCACCACAACCACCACTACAACCACCACCACCACAACCACCACCACACCTCCGCCGCCCAGAGCACCCCCATCCAGGTCAGCTGACGAGTAACCATTTACAACACGTTTATCAGAATAATTAACTTGTATATTAGTCCAGTTCCTTAACTGAAGCAACAAGTCAAGTAGACAATGATGATGTATGTAGTATCCCTGGAAACACAAACCGAAACTGTCTCTATTTTCCGCTTGTTACAACTTGTAATAAAGTTGTTACATCTTGGCTTAACGTGTTTATGACGTATTAGAACGTTGTTACAACTTGCTATATTGGTTGTTATAACTGGTTAGGAAGTGTTAAAACTTGTTGGAACGTTGCACCAACGTCGTAGTTTCGGTGTGTGTTTGGCGGGATAAGCGGACTTGAGGTTCTGAGGGTTAGTGGACTGTCTCACGTTAACGCCTTTCTGCCTTGATTTCCACTCCTGCAGGGGAACTTGTCAAGATTACACGCACCTGACCTCAAACCACACCCTATGTCGGGCTACGCCCTCCACCTGCGCCATATACCACAGGGGCGTGACCCTACACGACCAGGTGGCCATCGTGGAGTCCCACAACCGTTACAGAGCGAAGGTTGCCCGCGGAGAGGAGAGCGAGGGGCTGCCTGGACCGCAGTATTCTGCGTCAGATATGCAGGAGTTGGCCTGGAACGAGGAACTGGCCTACGTGGCCCAGGCTTGGGCTTCGGCCTGTCCGGACTACCATGATTGCCACGACTGTCGTCGTCTCCTCTCTAGTAAGAATGTGTAATCTGTACTTAAAAATAAGAGGCCTTAGTCTCAATTTCTCAAGTTATAACTTTATTTTATTATAAATCGTTGGTTTAACGAATAACAGTATATGCTAAACTCGGTCTCAAATTTATTTTGTCTATAACATCATAGCTTATATTAATAAGGTAGGTCCAGTTTATAGGTCAAAACTGATGTTAAATCAAAATCTATCGTATCCTCAGACTTTCTATATATGTAAGATATTTGTTTAAATCTCGAAATATTGCAAATGACTGAATCTCCTGCCACAGATTTTCTTCTTGAAGTGATCTTTCTTCCTTTTGTATTAATCCCATTGGCACGGACTGGTCGGTACAGGAGCGGAATTGCTTAGTGCAGAGATGCGCTCGATCCCCGATGGTTCAAGCGATTGGGCACCTTTCCTTCACTATCCTCATATTCCAGCTCTTTAATCAGTACTCTTATTCTTTCAAGGTGTTACATAGTTAAATAAAATTCTCTACCTACAATCAAGAATTCCGGGTTCGAATCCCGGGCGGGACAGAAATGATTGGGCACATTTCCTTTCACCTAATGCCACTGTTCACCTAGTAGTGAGTAGTTACTCATGAGTTAGCCAGCTTATTATGGAGTTACATCCTAGGAGGGGTTAGCAATTCGACCATGGGAGAGAGGGGGTAGGTGGTGTTTACTATGTTTACATGCAGTTCTCTCTATTCATATGCTCACCAATAACTGTTCTTGTGTTCACCAATAACTGTTCTTGTATTCACCAATAACTAACGAGGAGGCTGGGCTCCCACAGGGGACTACTACGTAGGTCAGAACATCTTCTACGAGTGGAGCAGCAGTAACGCCGGTTCCGTCTGGGAGACGGCTGTCAGACTTTGGTACGAAGAAGTCAAATATGTGCCCAACTACCTCATCAAAAGCTTCCAGTGAGTAATGCTTTCTTTAAGATATATTTCTTGGGGTTATCTTGAGTATTGGTCTTTGGTTCTGCTGTGGGAGCTGCTATTGGTCTCTGTTATTGTATGGAAGATATGGTTATGTACCTAGTATGGAAGATATGGTTAAGTACCCAGTATGGAAGATATGGTAAAGTGCCCAGTATGGAAGATATGGTAAAGTGCCCAGTATGGAAGATATGGTAAAGTGCCCAGTATGGAAGATATGGTAAAGTACCAAGTATGGAAGATATGCTAAAGTACCAAGTATGGAAGATATGCTTAAGTACCCAGTATGGAAGATATGGTTAAGTACCCAGTATGGAAGATATGGTTAAGTACCAAGTATGGAAGATATGCTAACGTACCAAGTATGGAAGATATGCTTAAGTACCCAGTATGGAAGATATGCTAAAGTACCCAGTATGGAAGATATGCTAAAGTACCCAGTATGGAAGATATGCTAAAGTACCCAATATGGAATACATGCTAAAGTAGCAACTGTTTAGCTAACTGCATTGGAGAGACCGGCAAGAGTGTGACCCCTGGCAGGATAGCTGAAGAAGTAGAACATCTTTCTCTCCTTCAGGTCGATGGATCACGCGGTCATCGGCCACTACACGCAGTTGGTATGGGCCGACACGCGGGAGATAGGCTGTGGCGCCGCCTACCACGACTGCTCCAAGGAATTCAAGGGACGAGTCTGGAAGCTGAAATGCAAAATCTACGTTTGCAACTACGGCCCCACGTTAGTGCTCAGTGTGTCCTTATAAGTAGCTAATGCATTGTTTGTGGACAATGAATGGAACAGTGATTCGATACTTTTAATAAGTAGAAGGGGGTACCCAGCGGTGCCCGGGTCTCTCTCTCCTCTTTTATTGTGATAGATTAGTATTAGATTACCCACAGATATGTTAAATGATGTTGTTCTCGGAATATAATTGACCTTAGACTGTTTATTGGCTACCAAATAGTGCTTCTCATCAACTAACAAGATGTCCGGCAAATTGTAAGATGAATATGTTTGTTCAAAATAAAATACCAAATTGCTATGTAAGTAAAAGATATTACATTCACGTTGATGAATGCAATGAAAACTGTTCATTGACCCGGTTCTCATATCGCAGTTCCTTGTTATCGTATCCCAGCTCCTTGTTATCGTATCCCAGCTCCTTGTCCTCATATCCTAGCTCCTTGCACTCATATCCTAGCTCATTGTCCCCATATCCCAGCTCCTTGTCCCCATATCCCAGCTCGTTGTTCTCATATCCCAGCCCCTTGTCCTCATATCCTACCTCCTTGTACTCATATCCCAGCTCCTTGTCTTCATATCCCAGCTCCTTGTCCTCATATCCCAGCTCCTTGTCCTCATATCCCAGCTCCTTGTCCCCATATCCCAGCTCCTTGTCCTCATATCCTAGCTCCTTGTCCCCATATCCCAGCTCCTTGTCCCCATATCCCAGCTCCTAGTCCTCATATCCCAGCTCCTTGTCCTCATATCCCAGCTCCTTGTCCCCATATCCCAGCTCCTTGCGGTATATAGTCATACTGGATTAGTGCTTTCTCCTCATAATTACCAAACGTGAAAACGTCTATTTCGTAACAATAACTCTGCTTAAAATTGGTTAACGTTAGAGATCATGTTTTGCAAAACTGAAGGCACTTTACTTTCTCATTTTAAATTACACTAAGCTAGACCAATCCCTGGGTGCTTGCTTAACAACTTTATTTAAAAAACCTTCATTCAATTCGTTATTGTTCCATATTGATATATATATTTTGTTTTGTTTCAGTGGCAACTTCCTCAAAAAACCCATGTATAACATTGGACCAGCTGCCTCCTCCTGTCCAGCCAATTCTCGCCCGTCATTAGAGTACCCTGGACTCTGCACATCCCATTGATGTGTAGAGTCAGTGTGACTCTTGGACTCTCAGCCTCCTGAACCACCTGCGTAGCTCTCTGACATCCGATTCACGACAGTTGGTCTCTTAAGAGTGCCCCGGCCCGCCCTCTCCTTAGACGTGTGTCAAGAGCCTTGGCTCTCTTCAACAAAGAACTATCGTCAGATTTGATCATGGCAATTTAGGGTTGTGAAAATCGTTTAACAGTTGTCTGTTCAAAACTGCTGGCAAGTGCCTATCAGGTGCAAGACCTATCAGGACCTCAAGGCAATACACTGGTGGAAAAAACAAATGCTGCTTCGTGCAAGTCTTAGATTCTGTTTGCAACGAATCCGCAAATAGTGGAAAAGATTGAAGAGGACAGAAAATAGGAATAAGTGGCCAAGAACTTCACTTTTAAATATTGCCAAGATGGGTGCTCCCTACATGCTATTATTCAGTGTTTTTCTCCTAATATTTTGCCCCCCATTAGATAAGTCCCAGTTGAAGGAGTATTCAAAGACGATGAATAAATCCACAAGGGCCGTAACGAGGATTCGAACTTACGTCCGAAAGGATCCCAGACGCTGCCTTAAAGACGATATCCCCCTGTCATATCAGTTAAGAAAGTCTCTTAAAGACTGTTTCAAAGACGTTGTTATAGTCGATGTTGTATGCGACTAATGAGCAATTTAAGTGTCGATCAGTGACAGAGAACAATCGAAAAAAAAACGTAAAGTCTAAATAGGCCATTTAACACTACTCTTCAACCCCTAACAACACCAAATTCCTAGATATCATTCAGGAAGCCATTATGATGTTTCAGATTTAGCTACTCAGAACGAAGTGTCTATGTAGCACGGGCTATGGTGAGCCCGTAAACCATTATGAGAGCAGAAAGCCATAATGCTCGGCACTGTTGGAACATATCAGCTTCGTGATGGATTAGATCTGCCTCAGTGACAAAGATATATATGTGAAATTTGTTGTATCTGAGAGTTACAGTGAAGAGTTCCGTAACGACACGGATGTAAAGGTTCCGACACTCTCTCGCAATATCACCAGCTTCCTCTTCTCGAAATTGTTCAAGAATAGTGCGGTTTTTTGTTCAAAAAGTTAAGGTAAAGTGTTCAAAATCTGGAAATTGTTAGTGATATACTGGTTTACTGAGAAATTAAATAATTGTTGACACAAAATATTTGGTATGAATGTTTCACATTACTCACCAAGGCTATCTTGAGGTTATCTTGAGATGATTTCGGGGCTTTAGTGTCCCCGCGGCCCGGTCCTCGACCAGGCCTCCACCCCCAGGAAGCAGCCCGTGACCGCTGACTAACTCCAAATGAGGAGTGCTTCCTTACTAAACTGGACATGAGGTATCGTTAAGTAAGGTGTTTTCGGGGCTTAGCGTCCCCGCGGCTCGGTCGTCGACCAGGCCTCCTTACCTCACTGGCTGAGAGCTATTCCTCGATGAAACAGTTGCGTAATAGACAAAACTTCCTCGACACAAGGGCTGTTTCAGCAAAGTTTCAGCAAAGAAAGTGTTGATGATCGTGTGTGTGTATATTGACGTCCTAAAGAGCAGTACACCATGCTGAAGTGTTCACAAGAGATCCTGACTATAGCAGAGATACTTTATAGACACGTATCTATTCACCAGAAATAGATATTTAACAGCAAAGTTGACTATTTGTGCGAAATTCAGGCACATATTACATGGTTTTTCTCAGTGAGAAATGTTGAAGAATAGCATTAAGTTTCTCATATCCTCCGAATTTTGTTCCCACAACGCATTATATATATATATATATATATATATATATATATATATATATATATATATATATATATATATATATATATATAGGGGGTATATCCGTGATAATATATATATTGTACTGTAAATTATGTAATATAATTATTATTATATAATTTAATATCTATCACTTTTTGCTATAGTACCTTTTGTGTCTTAGCTAATGAACCCCAACTATTTAGAAGCAAATAATGTCTATGATTGTATTGTGCAAATGTTTATATATATATATATATATATATATATATATATATATATATATATATATATATATATAAAGAAAACCTGTTCTCACAATTTGGGACTCTTATGTATGTCGTATGAACACAATTGTAAAAATTGTGTTTGTTTAAATGTGTTTGAACTGCATTGTTAGGCAAAATTATTCAGTTTAGACACTTGCCAAATCATAATAGGTGTGTGTGTGTGTGTGTGTGTACTCACCTAGTTGTACTCACCTAGTTGTGTTTGCGGGGGTTGAACTCTGGCTCTTTGGTCCCGCCTCTCAACCGTCAATCAACAGGTGTACAGATTCCTGAGCCTATCGGGCTCTATCATATCTACACTTGAAACTGTGTATGGAGTCAGCCTCCACCACATCACCCCCTAATGCATTCCATAAATTTGGTGTGTGTGTGTGTTTTTGTGTGTGTGTGTGTGTGTGTGTGTGTGTGTGTGTGTGTGTGTGTGTGTGTGTGTGTGTGTGTGTGTGTGTGTGTTACACGAAGACACAGTTACTGACACTATATTAACTCGACTGAAATACTCTATAGGATGATTTTCCTCAAGTCTGATAGTCCTGTAATATTTTCCTCACAAGTCTTACAATGTTTTTAATACATGGAAGTTTGGGGTGTCACTTTGTATATCCTTAATTATCTTTTCCTGTAGTGTTTTGTAATCCATATTTGTTGGGTGTTTGAAGTCAAGAAGTGGAGAATAATTAATGATTTTCATTTTTTTTATTTCATGACGTTTCCTGACGTCAACCTCTGACTTCAATGACATCAACTGGAGTTAAATGATTGGTAAATATATGAATCTAATTCACCGACAAACGCGAAAATTATCTGTAATTACATCAAGTTTTAATCAACGACTTTTCCTGTTCTTCTTTTTAACTAATCCATCATCAGATGAACAAGTCACAATCTAGTTACATTTAATTAAAATTATTCATCAATTATACAACCTTAACATTAAGTATTTCTATTATAACGTGGGAAGATATACTAATATTAATTATTAACCAATCAAATGACTCTTTAAAACTTTATATATATATATATATATATATATATATATATATATATATATATATATATATATATATATTATTTATACATGCTAGTTTATAATTTGCACTCCCTAGAAAAAATGTATACACACTAGAAGAGATAATATTATCCATGATGCACAATGCAATCGCAAATAGCTTGATGAATCAGGGAGTGACGAGGAACTCTTTAGTTATATCCCACTTTCAGAGCTTCAATCTATTCCTAATAATTATTATATTTATAACTTTATATTTAAGAACTAACTTGATTAACTAGAAAGGTATTATATGGATATCAAACTACATCTTTCATATCATATTATATCAAGAGATTATATTAAAATTTAACTAATTTTTCATTCAAAATAATACATAAGTGATAAAAATATCTATTCGTTTTTTTTTAATACTGAAATAAAGTAAAAAATAAAAAATAAAAAACTGGAAAATCGATGATAAAATAAAATCATATTGTAGAGATAAATAACAAATAATAAATATGAAAAATATGACATACATTGTCTTTTGTATGTGAATAAATACTGTATAACGAGACTTTTGTTTAATCTTAGGATTTAAAAAAATATTTAGCTATTTTCTACTCATTTATTTTTAAGATGTCGATGTTAATCGCAATATTAAATCGGTTCTCGACATATTATTTATTATTGGGAAGTGCAATGATAATAGATCTTTGACTTTTACTTTTATTTACTTTTAAAGTTTTAACTTTAAAACCCCAGTCCTTCTGAGATGTGATAGAGGGTGAAGGACCCTAGCAGTGCCAGGAGCCCTTGGTATAGCAGTACCTGGAGTCCTTGGTATAGCAAGCAGTGCCAGGAGCCCTTGGTATAGCAGTACCTGGAGTCCTTGGTATAGCAAGCAGTGCCAGGAGCCCTTGGTATAGCAGTGCCTGGAGTCCTTGGTATAGCAGTGCCTGGAGCCCTTGGTATAGCAGTGCCTGGAGCCCTTGGTATAGCAGTGCCAGGAGCCCTTGGTATAGCAGTACCTGGAGTCCTTGGTATAGCAGTGCCTGGAGTCCTTGGTATAGCAGTGCCTGGAGCCCTTGGTATAGCAGTGCCTGGAGCCCTTGGTATAGCAGTGCCAGGAGCCCTTGGTATAGCAATGCCTGGAGCCCTTGGTATAGCAAGCAGTGCCAGGAGCCCTTGGTATAGCAATGCCAGGAGCCCTTGGTATAGCAGTGCCAGGAGCCCTTGGTATAGCAATGCCTGGAGCCATTGGTATAGCAGTGCCTGGAGCCCTTGGTATAGCAGTGCCAGGAGCCCTTGGTATAGCAGTGCCAGGAGCCCTTGGTATAGCAATGCCTGGAGCCCTTGGTATAGCAGTGCCAGGAGCCCTTGGTATAGCAATGCCTGGAGCCCTTGATATAGCAGTGCCAGGAGCCCTTGGTATAGCAAGCAGTGCCAGGAGCCCTTGGTATAGCAGTGCCAGGAGCCCTTGGTATAGCAAGCAGTGCCAGGAGCCCTTGGTATAGCAAGCAGTGCCAGGAGAGCTTGGTATAGCAAGCAGTGCCAGGAGCCCTTGGTATAGGAAGTAGTGCCAGGAGTCCTTGGTATAGCAAGCAGTGCCAGGAGAGCTTGGTATAGCAAGCAGTGCCAGGAGCCCTTGGTATAGCAAGCAGTGCCAGGAGCCCTTGGTATAGCAAGCAGTGCCAAGAGTCCTTGGTATAGCAAGCAGTGCCAGGAGCCCTTGGTACAGCAAGCAGTGCCAGGAGCCCTTGGTATAGCAAGCAGTGCCAGGAGCCCTTGGTATAGCAAGCAGTGCCAGGAGCCCTTGGTATAGCAAGCAGTGCCAGGAGCCCTTGGTATAGCAAGCAGTGCCAGGAGCCCTTGGTACAGCAAGCAGTGCCAGGAGCCCTTGGTACAGCAAGCAGTGCCAGGAGCCCTTGGTACAGCAAGCAGTGCCAGGAGCCCTTGGTACAGCAAGCAGTGCCAGGAGCCCTTGGTATAGCAAGCAGTGCCAGGAGCCCTTGGTATAGCAGTGCCAGGAGCCCTTGGTATAGTAAGCAGTGCCAGGAGCCCTTGGTATAGCAAGCAGTGCCAGGAGTCCTTGGTATAGCAGTGCCAGGAGCCCTTGGTATAGTAAGCAGTGCCAGAAGCCCTTGGTACAGCAAGCAGTGCCAGGAGCCCTTGGTATAGCAAGCAGTGCCAGAAACCCTTGCTATAGCAGTGCCAGAAACCCTTACTATACTCCCACTACAATACTGTATTTATACACCATAGAATAGAGGGCGACGGCTTTCCCATGTATAGGCCTAGATGCTCTCTAAAAAAAACTAATTATTCCCCCCCTTATTCCTACTAAACAACTAATCTTGACTGACAATGTAGCTATACGATATATTCTACCTTTCAACAAATAGTTAAAAATGATCCTAACTATATCGATAGCTAAATACACGAAGGGAAAAAAGCCCTTCAAGATGATCTACGATTTAACACGTCAAAATGTGGATACTATCACACTATCTTCCACTAAGATTAGCGTGTCTGTTATCCTGTTTTAATATTAAGATTTGTAAATATTTTTTGTATGTGAATTATATGTGAATTATATGTGTGGACACGTCTGAGATGGAGGGAACGGCTAGTATCTTGACCCTCATTCAGCGCCTTCAGCCTGGAAGTGTTCTCCAAGATGATAAATGTTCTCCTAGATGATAAAGTGTTCTCCAAGACTCGACTCACGTGTCGGGAGAAGAATGGCTCTTAAGGTGTGTTTGAGAATAAGGGTTGGGAAGTCGTAGCCACCTCTCACTAGTCAGTATATGAGTTAGATTTTTACAATAAAGGTTTGGGTACGGAAAAAAAATATTATGTTCTTATTATCCTAGTGTTTTTCTGGTGATTCTGTTACTCTTATTAGAGTCTAGTGTGATGGTATACGTTAATAAAGCAATGAACTATGGAACAACGTCGACTGAAACATGCGTAAAGCAGCCACAAAAATACGCTCGATCGTATTAATCGCGCGTATTAATACCTCACTTAAACTCCGGATTGCACTCACATATAAATCCCAACTAAGTCAATTAAGTACGGTGATTAATCTCTCGAGTTGTGATACGCTGAAGCTCTAATTGTTTTGAGTAATTTTCTGCGATATTGCTGTACTGTTAACTATTACGCTGATTAAATATTGCCATTTATAATATTACGCAACTCCAGTTCTCTTTGATTGATTGATTGATGAAGATTAAGCCACCCAAGAGGTGGCACGGGCATGAATAGCCCGTGATAAAAATTTTTTTTAAGTCAATGTGATCATTGGTCGTGTTACAGAGTTGTTACAACTTGTTTATAAAGGTGTTATGGCGCGTTAAAAAGGCGTTACAAGTTGTTACAACTTCCAGGCGATGAGTCACAATAACGTGGCTAAAGTATGTTGACCAAACCACACACTAGAAAGTGAAGGGACGACGACGTTTCGGTCCGTCCTGGACCATTCTCAAGTCGCTTGTCACAATCAACGGACCGAAACATCGTCGTCCCTTCACCTTCTAGTGTGTGTGGTCTGGTCAACATACTTGTTACAAACTTGTTCGAACGTTGCAGCAACATCGTAGTTTCGCTAGTTGTTATAGATTCAGCTACTCGGAACAAGTTCCAAGTAGCACGGGCTATGGCGAGCCCGTAGTGGACTTACCTGGCACAGGAGCGGTGCTGAATGAGTGCGAGTTTCCCAATGTGTTTGGAAGGTTACATAGTATTAAAAAACACCTAACTACTAAATTTTAACACCATACACAGTAAATCCCACTTATAACAGGTACATGGGATCCCCCCCCCTGTGATTTACGGATGTGATAACTGGCATCTGAACTTGATATATTAAACTTGGCATCTGAACTTGATATATTAAACTTGGCATCTGAACTTGATATATTAAACTTGCTGGATCATTTTACTCACTGTAATATCTGGTGCTTAAACTTGCTTTATAAAAGTGATCAATTGCTTAACTACTCCACAGAGCTCATTTCTCCTTCTCTATACTTAGTATTATTGTTGTGTCAATCACCCGGTCGTTAATAAATTGATCAATAAATCTGAAACGCGGAAGGAGGTATTATTGATCTTTAAACAGACTAGCGAAGATTAATTTTCATTAACCTCCTACCGTTATCACTAGGGGATTAATGATAACGATAAACCGTTGATCAATAACCATTGACAAGTTACTCAATGCATAACAGAAAACGGAATAATTACAAAGAAAACGTAAGATAAACACACGATTCACAACTAATGATGTTCGAACATTTCTCGAAAAGTGCTTCGTCGAGTTCCTCTGTTCGAACCACAACGCTGTAAATGCCTCACCCTCGTACTCCCAAATACGAACAATCGCCAACAGAACATAAACATTAGGCCTAAACCCACGCTTAACAATACATAAAGCTTAATTACATGGTATATAAACGCGAACAAGACCTATTTTTTGACCTGTTGCGTTAACATTGACGCATGCGCCGTGGGGGTCGACCGAATGCTTCAACTATCCTATGCAGACGAGGAGTCACAATAGCGTGGTTAAAGTATGTTGACCAGACCACACACACTAGAAGGTAAAGGGACGACGACGACGTTTCGGTCCGTCCTGGACCATTCTCAAGTCGATTGAACCATTCTCACAATCGACTTGAGAATGGTCCAGGACGGACCGAAACGTCGTCGTCCCTTCACCTTCTAGTGTGTATGGTCTGGTCAACATTCTTCAACCAGCCTGGCCTCTGGTGCAGTTATCCACGTAATTTAAAAACAAATCATCTAAATCTTTTCTAAACACGATAGGGTAGGTTAGGTTAGGTTAGGTTAACCAACGCATTGTATAGAACCTTAATGAATAATACTAATTTATATATTAAAATAAACCTATTTTTTAAAACACATTTGCTTTAAAATGGATGAATGAGTCTTGGGTAGGGATGGAGTGGGTGGGGGGGGGGGTGAGGGGGGGGGGGGCGGGGGTTGAAGGGCAGCTGCTTTAAACAACCTGCCCTCAGGCCAAGCTCGTTACTCGCTACGGGCTCACCATAGCCCGTGCTACTTGGAACTTTTTGTTCCAAGTAGCGAATCTTTAACAGCAACAATGGATACTCGGCTAGGGGGGGGGGGAATTAACATTAATTTGCAGAATATTTTTATATATATTTTGAGTTATGTTTTTTGGTGAACTGGCTACTGCATCACTGAATATCACAGTGATATCACTGTGATATCACTGAATATCACAGTGATATCACTGTGATATCACTAACGTCTTTGATGTTAGAGATAACAGATCACATAACAGTCCTCCACATTCACCCGTTTTTCCTGTTCAGTACTCCCGTTTACCGTTCTAATAGGAATTAAGATAATACTTCAAACAGTCACCATTCCCGCCCCCATCAAATAATAGAAATGATTTGCCATGACAATCGGCTTGAGAATGGTCTAGGACAGACCGAAACGTCGTCGTCCCTTCACCTTCTAGTGTGTGGTCTGGTCAACGATTTGGCATAACAACGGCCCAGGAAGCCTTCGAGGATACGACGGTCCGTCCAGGACTGCTCCACAACACCATTCTCCCGTAGAGTCTGAATACCACTAACCTTGCGTTCATCGCTACACCACGAGCGAGGGGCGGCCAATTAGCTTGTGTAGTCAAGACGAGCAGAGAAATCCAAACGTCCTGAAGCAGATCGCAGCACTGAAGGACCTTAAGTCCCTGTTTCCGGAGACCTGGATGCCACGGACCAAGCAGGGGGCGGCCCGGCGACCTAGACACTGTCAACATAACTGGCTAGGAGTAGTAGGGGGGGCGTCAGCTTCTGGGCTAAAACAGGGGGGGTTAACCGCACCCTTCAAACGCCTAACGACCGAACTCTCCGAGGGTAGTTCGACATGAGACAACACACGTTCCCAAGATTCTCTTGAATATAAATCGAGCAGTCGAATTTACATTGATGGAGAATTTGACTGCACTGGGTTATCGACATCAAATTTATTTGTATTTCGAAGAATACGATATTTGTATCTATATTTTGCACAAATACAAATATTTGTATTTCTATGTAAATGAATGGTGGATGAATTTGATGTGGCTAACATAAATGGTTCTAGAAGATATGGAATTAATTTATTACAAAGATACTCACTTGACTGAACCGGGGTAAATTGACATAGTTTTTTTTATGCATTTAATCCAATCTTTACATAGTTGGGAATCTATCAGTTCTATCATAAAGTATCAAGCAAAACTAACACAGTAATGGCTGAAACGAATCACTTTCACAATACTTCCTTTGCCTAATCACTGAAGTAATTAATAAGAGACACCACAAGTTTTAATCATTAGATCGGAACTACCCAACAAATCATGCAAACACATTAACATGAACATTTATTGCTCATTACAGACACACATATGTGAAACACAGTCCATATGTGTAGCGCTTCACATTCATGTCTATTTATGCTGACTGGCACATGATAGATGGTTTCCAAACAAGAATGAGAGAGAGAACTCACCTGGAGCCGGTCGGCCGAGCGGACAGCACGCTGGACTTGTGATTCTGTTGTCCCGGGTTCGATCTCAGGCGCCGGTGAGAAACAATGGACAGAGTTTATTTCCCCCTATGCCCCTGTTACCTAGCAGTAAAATAGGTACCTGGGTGTTAGTCAGCTGTCACAGGCTGCTTCCTGGGGGTGGAGGCCTGGTCGAGGACCCGGCCGCGGGGGACGCTAAGCCCCGAAATCATCTCAAGAAGAAGAAGGCAGCGCATGTGTAACTACACTTAGGTAATTACACACACACACAGGCAAGGGATAAGGAGGATAATGACAGTACCAGCAGCAACACCTCTCAACTAGCGAAACAAGCAATTACACAATCTCACATATCATTAAATATAATATTAATGCAATGAAATTGCATATAGTAGGATACACACATATATATATATAATGTTATCTCAAAACCTGCAGAATGAATACATATGTAATTTGTAACCTTGACACTTAAAGTATAACCTCAGCGTCATGTGGTTATCATACTCAGATCTGGCATATGCTATCCGTTCTTGGGTCAATATACAATCGTCCGGTTAACTGGATACAACATATTTTAGTAGACAATTTCCCACGTCCAGTTCCTCTCCCTCTTACTAGGGGCAACTAGCATATCCTTCGCCTAGTACATATCCTTCTCAACCTTCTCAAGACACTATACACTCCGAGAACAGCTCAGGAACAATGAGAGGATTTTCGACAAGCCGCCGGCTTCCTATCATCGTGAAGACCATCTGAGGTGGTGGTCTAAAGGTGAGGAATATGTCTTTTAAGGAAGCCATTATTAACTAAGTCTAAACTTAATTCTTCTTCAACATTTGATGTTGTTGTTGTTAAAGATTCGCTGCCTGGAACAAAAAGTTCCAAGTAGCACGGGCTATGGTGAGCCCGTAGATAGTTATGATTTGTTAGTCCTGTGCAAACGAAGACTTACAATAACGTGGCTGAAGATATGAAGATCATCATGTTTTGTTAATCTTGGTCTTGTTAGTCCTATACGAGGATCTTGTTAATTCTGTTAGAAGATCTTGTTAGTCCTATAAGAAGATCTTGTTAGTCCTATAAGAGGATCTTCTTAGTCATATACGAGGATCTTGTTAGTTCTGTTAGAAGATCTTGTTAGTCCTATAAGAGGATCTTCTTAGTCCTATAAGAGGATCTTGTTAGTTCTGTTAGAAGATCTTGTTAGTCCTATAAGAGGATCTTGTTAGTCCTATAAGAGGATCTTGTTAGTCCTATAAGAACATCCTGTTAGTTCTATTAGAAGATCCTGTTAGTTCTATTTACTGTTGCGTAAATATCTAATTTCAAAATGTATGTACAATCTGTTTGGAGACCTGTGTTAATGAAAAAATCCGTAGGAGCCCTGATATGGGATCGAATTTATGCACTGGGTGTTCCCAGATACCCGCTCCAGACAACTAGGCCGCGCCATGGTCGAAAAATGAAGGATTCCAACCCGGGATACAACTGCATCCTCGAAGAATTCCTGAACCCTCGTTCTAAGGTTCAACAATCCCCTTATCACAACTACGGATTTTCTCATGCATGCCAAGTCCAGTGAGTGGGATTACTCTCTGTTTATCCGGGTTCAAATGCTGTTACTTCGGCAAATACTTGACTCTGTGTTGTAATGTTTCGTCATATGGGACGTAAATGTCATTCGTGGTCTCCACTGCAACGTTTCCAGTGTTGGAGGCATCTTGAGGGGCCGTCTTCACCTCGTTTTCAGGATCTGAGGGTGACAGAAGGTATTCAGTATCACATTGTAAGCCATTATGTATTTTTTATACTAGGAGGGGTATACAGGGTTGGCTGGGTCTCTCTATCTGCTCTCTCTCTCTCTCTCTCTCTCTCTCTCTCTCTCTCTCTCTCTCTCTCTCTCTCTCTCTCTCTCTCTCTCTCTCTCTCTCTCTCTCTCTCTCTCTCTGTTATATCTAGCTATATATCTAGATATCTCTCTATCTAGCTATATATCTAGATATCTCTCTATCTAGCTATATATCTAGATATCTCTCTATCTAGCTATATATCTATCTAGATATCTCTCTATCTAGCTATATATCTATCTAGATATCTAGCTATATATCTATCTAGCTATATATCTATCTAGATATCTCTCTAGCTATATATCTAGATATGTCTCTAGCTATATATCTAGATATCTTTCTTATCTAGCTATATCTATATCTTGTTTCCTTTAAGTGCTCTTACCCAGGCAAGTTTGAGGGGAGTCTTCCGAATCTTAATCATCATTATCTTACCTCAACTCAGCTGCAGCCTTATCATTTATTTCATGAGAATGTAATCTGAGACTAAGTGAAACTTTCTCCAGACGTCACTTGGGAATACTAAGACTTAACATTATTGTCTTAAACTAAACTCGTTTTGGATTAGTATGTTATAGTTAAGCATCTTCTTAATCCTTGTGAAATATTGTGTTTGTTTAGGGATGAGATGAGTTACATTTACACTCTCAGTCTCTCCCATCTCCCTCATTCTCTCCCACATCCTCTCCACCGTCCTCTCCCTCATCCTCTCCCCCCCCCTCTCATCCTCTCTCCACATCTTTTCGGAAGATAAAACAGCATCCTGCCACATTTCCACAACACGTCTAACAAAGTTATAACCTCACACGTCTACGCAACGAGCGTGTTGTGATATAGATTATCTTGAGGTTATCTGGAGATGATTTCGGGGCTTTAGTGTCCCCGCGGCCCGGTCCTCGACCAGCCTTCCACCCCCAGGAAGCAGCCCGTGACACCTAGACAGCTGACTAACACCCAGGTACCTTTACTGCTAGGTAACAGGGGCATAGGGTGAAAGAAACTCTGCCCAATGTTTTCTCGCCTGGGATCGAACACAGGATCACAAGTCCAGCGTGGTGTCCGCTCGGCCGACCGGCTCCCTTAGGGATCAGATGAGTTGTATGATACAATACAATAACCGTAGATCATCAAGTCATCAGGACAAAGTAACAAACACAAAAGATAAACATTCGCTGAACCTCATCTCAGGTCGCTCTTAAGACGTTTCTAACTAATAATGGTAAATTGTTCACTAGGGAACGTAACCTTAGACCGGAATCCTTCGTCCCATCTTCTAACTCAGAAGGGTTGTTTAGGAAGGCGGGCTTGATATTTGGAAGTATATAAGAGAGGCAAGGCTCCTCTTGATGTCATCAATTAGAGATGATGATGTTCAGAGATTATATGTTCCATATAATCTCTTATATGTAATTATATGGAACATATAATCTCTTCCCACAACCAAACCATCGCCAGAGAAATCCTAGTAAACAACACAGAAATCATCGATAGATACAGCGATAGCAGGCGTCTTGACGTTTGCGAGGCACTACACATCAAGAAGTCAACACCAGCAATCAACAGCCAATTAATGCACAACTATATTCTACCCACCTCAAGACTCCGCTCCAATATAGAAGCATCAAGAAATATGGACCAATAGGCTTTCTACAAACACTTCTATTCAATACCCATTGTTTCGTGTTCTGTCTTGTGTTGATGAAATTAATACCCTATTAATGCCACCTCTTGTTCTGTCTTGTGTTGATGAAATTAATACCCTATTAATGCCACCTCACCCCATCCACCTCACTAAAATGTAGATATAAAATCGGAGATGCGTAAGTTCTATTCCATGCCACACTTGGTCCGGGAGACATCTCCCGTCACGCAGGGTGCAGTTGCGCCTCCACAGATCTCCAGTATCATCTTTTGATACTGGTAATGGCTCGAAAGGGCCACCACTTACGGGCTATCCATGCCCGTGCCACCTCTTGGGTGGCTTAATCTTCATCAATCAATCAATCAGTTCTATTCCACCATTATACAGTCTCCGTGGTGTAGTGGTAAGACACTCGCCTGGCGTTCCGCGAGCGCTATGTCATGGGTTCGTATCCTGGCCGGGGAGGATTTACTGGGCGCAATTCCTTAACTGTAGCCTCTGTTTAACGCAACAGTAAAATGTGTACTTGGATGAAAAAACGATTCTTCGCGGCAGGGGATCGTATTCCAGGGACCATAGGATTAAGGACTTG